GCAGACGCTCTGGAAGGCCGTGGGTATACCTCGTTTAGAAAGTATCGTCAGCATTTTGCTGGAACTGGTATACAATTTCAAATATCCAACGAACAGTTGTTGATTAACATGGACAATAATCGCTAGTTGAGCGGACTCGTCCAACCCGCTCCCCTCCTCCTTCCCCCACCTCGTACACTGCAGGGGCTTAAAAGCCTTAGAACTATACTCCAAGTGCACTTTAAAATTGTATTATTGCGCGTCCGAGTTTTCGGCAATAAATTCACATGGAGAAAAAACTGTATCAAACACAGGAAACAAGTCGAATTACTTAACGTGGTTCTGTAATAAAAGTTAGAAGAGTGAAACTCTTAGAAATCTGAAAATTACTATTTCCCCTTATTAAAGTCTCATTTAACAACAAATAATTACTCCAAATGCTTCAAGGTTGTATCAAAATGGTGTTAGAGAATGTTGTTATAATGGGATGCTGCAATGAAAATCTGTGCAGCAGATCTGAGTATCTGGGAGGGGAGAGAGGCGCAAAAAAGGGGAACAGCAAAGCGGTGACCACCACCGGTGGTACTGGACTGTTGATGGAGAGCAGGGGCTGTTTAAACCACGCTATTCGCTTTCTTTTTAAAAGTTGGTACGTGTGTTGGCATCAATTGAATTCGAAAAAAATTGGCCCAGTTTTTTTTTTCCCCCATTATATTAAGCCAACGAAACGGTTTCCTGTTGTCTCTTGTTACTGACCGTGACGGAAGAGATATACCTGGATTGAAACATATTTTTTTTTCAAGTTACTACTACTAGCTACCAACAAAAATCACTAAAAAATGTAATGGTTATTGCTCCCTGATGAAATTTGTTTGATATCCTTTATAATTTTCAAAGCAGCAATTTGTGTATGGGCAAGAGCCATTATGGCTCTTGGTATGGGTAAAGGTATGTAATGACTTGTAACATCAAACTAATTGCAACAGAATTATTTTCCATTTAAGTAAGAGTGGCCTCTCTAGCAACATACTTAAAATTCGGCAAAATCCGTTCGGTGGAACATGTCAAAATTAAGCGTGAAACACCTTGAGCTTTTAACACAGGCTACCCACGTTAGTTGAAATTATAAGTTCAAACAAAAAATGCACAAAATGTGTTTGTTACTTTTATGGGAAAGTGAAAGAAGAAAGGATAACTGCTACCTAGGTTTCGGTGATAAAAACGACTTGTTTCTTTTTCTCAAAAAGGATAAATATTTAATTCGGTTGGCTTTTGCACAGGACACCCATGCTTCGCTTAAGGAACCCCAAAATAACAGGAAGCGTCCAGAGTAATAGAGGGAACTGTTGGCTGTAAAACTACAACAAATTTAGTCGTAAGGCTTTAAATCTGAAAAATGAAAGCCGTTACTTAATCATTAGATTTTAAAATATATCCTTTTTAAATCAGATTTCTGTTAGGCACAAGGGTAAGAAAAATATATATCAGAGCTGGATTTTTGAATAACGTTACAGCTAAAACGGAGCTCTCCCCTCAAACAGAAGTCAACATAAAAACTAGCAGTGCAGCCATTGCTTTTTTTTTGCTTCTTCTCTTTTCTTTCTCTTCGCTAACTCTATTCTCCCTTTCCTTGTTAGTTTTCGGGCTCATTTTGCCTTCGGCTTTTGGTCTTTTTCTCAGTCAAAAGACTGCAATTTCCGTTCGGTAGGTTCTCAAAAATCCAGCAAGATAATGCTTTGGCTTTTACGATTACCAATTTCGTTAACGTACCGTCATCCTCAAATATACAAGTTTTACTTTTTTGAAGCTTTTCGTTTTCTTCTTGTTAAAAGTGAATGGAGAGGAGGGGAGGATAGTTTTACTAATTCTTTACGATGCACAACAATGCAGAGTTTTTGAGCAGGTTAAGCTCCAATGCCTATGAATTTAACAAGAGGGAACTGCGTTTTCATTTAAGGAAAAGTTACCTTCGCAAAAAAAATTATAAAGGTTAACGGAACAGTCATAGCATAAGAACTTTGGTTCCAGCAAACGTTTGTTTCAAGAAAACGAAATAGTAAAATAGGGAAGCTGCTTTTTAAGGGAAAGACAAACTCTGGGTAGCCAAAACAATGCGTATGTAAAAATATCTTGTTAGAGTCTATGGAGTAATGGAAATTCCCCACGCAGAGCATATAATTCACGCAACTCAGTCAGAAGGTAAACATGCAGTAAGTTGAAGTGTTACACAACGCTCATCCGAAAGGAAACATAGGTTCCGCAAAAAGAGGTGAGCCATCAGAAGCTATGTCAGACAAGCCCATTAATGTTGTACATATGTCCACTACCTTCGCGCCTTCATTGACCACTGCAATTATTTTCAGACGTATAGGATCCCATGATCGTTTAGAAAAAGGGGGCTTTTATTTGCCAATGGACGAGAACAAACTGGTCAAGGCTCAGGGTTGTTCTAACAAAAAAAAATGCAAGGAGGGAATATAAACGCCTTTAAACCACATAGCGATTAAACTACTTATTCACCTCACCAAGAAATTAAGGGCTGCCGCAAACTGAACACTCAGATACACTAAACTAAATCTGAGACTCGTTACAAGAAGAAGATTTAAAAAAAACTATAATGATAATAACACTTCGCTTGGTTTTCTGGATTTCCCTTACTACAGATTCGGCCAGGTGTAATGAAAAGCGCAGAGCGTTACGATCTAGAAAAAAAAAACAAATAGACGGAGTCCGAAGCAGAATATTTATTAACTCACTTTGTAAAGTACAGAGTCGTAATCCTAAAAGACGTTGCGCATGTCGCGAGAAAAAAAAAGAATCCCTGATTTCGGTCACACATATTGTCTAAGGTTTGAACATA